GAACTCACTAAATTGAGAGCTTGATCCTTTGTACTTGTGTAAGCCCTTCACTACTAATAAGAACTCCTCTACTCCGTGGACGTAGCCAATCTGGGTGAACCACGTACATCCTGTGTTTGCTTCTCTGTCTCTATTCATTTACGTACTTATCCTCACTAGTGACTGAAGCAACCAAGCAACCAAGCGAAGGTCACAAAACCTGACACTTTCTGTTGTACCAAAGTCTTCGCTGATTTTGTGCATCAACAGTATGTTTAGAAAGAAAACGGTTTTCTTATTATTATTAGTATTATTATTATAAAGTTTGGTCCACTAACCTTTTCTGTTTTTGCGTCTCCCTTAGGAATTAGAATCGAGACATACAGTCCTGGTGTCAGGGCAATTTTGCGTACGGATCTTCGAGTCTTCTCAGGCTAGGACCCATTCCTTTATTCATACCTTCTTATAATAATTCTTTCACATTATTCTTGAGTGGTTGTATGCTCTGAACACGGTTCTGCATTCATATATTTCTTTCTGATCACATATTTTCTTTTGTATGCATGTATAAAATAGTTTTGTCACCCTCAGATGTCGGCCAGCACGTGTCTATCGTGACATTTGGGGATATCGGGATTGGAGCGTGTCATCTAAGGATTGACAAAGATGTAACTTACAAAGTCTTTAACTTAATAGAAATATGAAGTAATATTTTTTTAGAAAATTAGGAAAGTAATATTTTAAAAAAAATATTATATACACCAAGGATGGGAAGTAATAGAAAATTAATTCTTATTCGTATAGAAATAGAATTGGACCTGCTGTAAGGCCCATTCTTTATCAAAACCCTAGACATGAAAAGACTAGAAAGCCCTTGAATCATGACTTGCGTTCTTCATTTCGTCTCATAGGCTTAGATAATGACTTTGAAGAACAAAATAAATTATCAAAAAGAAGGGAATTATGGAGAATTTTATGAAACTCAGATTTTAAGCTTGTCACATTACTTAGAATGAGCATCTATCTCAAATTAATTGACAATAAATGAAAAAATATTAACCACTTAATGCGAGACTTTAATGCATGATTTCCATTAAAGGCAATTGAGAGATGACAATAAATGAAAAAAATATTAACCACTTAATGCGAGACTATAATGCATGATTTCCATTAAAGGCATTTGAGAGATGTCATTCGACGAACACCATTTGAGACAAAATATTCGATTATGAGAAACGGTAGAGAAAATTTAAAGATCAAGATAATCTCAAACACATTTATTATTTGGTGGATATTTTACTTATTTTGGTATAACAAATTCAGATAACGTTTTATTGGTCGAATGTTACATATATGTTCTAGATTCGTGGCACGTGACAAGTCGCCAAATTGATAACTTATTCCTTTATTGTTCAGATTGATCGTATATCAGCGATAGCTGCGAAGTATGTAGGCAAACCATTGGGAAGCTAATTCTTCTCCTTTTCCATCCCGCAGTCCACTTGATCTTGGGGTGGGAGCTTTGGGTTTCAGTCAAGCATGGCCGGTGAGATGTATGGTGCCGGAGACCTTCTCAGGTCAATCAGTGCATCAAGTGAAGCAGACAAGCCAATGATAATTGAGCTTGCCGTTGCAGCTATGGATGAACTTATCAGAATGGCCCAAATGGTTGAACCCTTGTGGATGACTAGCCTTGATGGCAGCACCACCGTACTCAATGAAGGTGAGTACATCAGAACGTTCCCTCGTGAAGTCAGGCCAAAACAAAACGGCTTCAAAACAGAAGCTTCGCGTGAGAGTGCAGTTGTTATTATGAACCACATGAAACTTGTTGAGATTCTCATGGATGTGGTTAGCCTGCCAACTCTATTAGACATTTACGTACGTCTTCATTAGTGTATTTATATCGTTGTATTAATAACACCTTTGAAGGAAAGAATCGCATGAACCCACATTATTATTTGTGTGGATTTTGTAACGTGTAGAATCAGTGGTCGACCGTACTTTCTGGGATTGTCTCAAGAGCTCTGACCCTTGAAGTCCTATTAACTGGCGTGGCTGGAAATTACAATGGAGCGTTGCAAGTGGTATATATATTTTCCCCTCAAAGTTCAACTTCAGCTCTTCTTATTCTGTCGTTAATTGTTTAGTTTTTTTGTGATACGTATTTTTGTATTAAAATACTGTTTGTGGTTTGGTAGATGACGGCAGAATTCCAAGTTCCTTCACCACTTGTTCCAACTCGTGAGAGTTATTATGTGAGGTACTGCAAACGGCATGCCGATGGCACCTGGGCTGTGGTTGTGTTTCCTTGGACAACTTTCGCCCTAATCCTGCACTCAAATCTTGTCAAAGAAGGCCCTCAGGATGCCTAATTCAAGAAATGCCAAATGGGAATTCAAAGGTATACAACACACTATATATACATATCATACATGTTTTACTTTAACGGGATATTTTAGGGCCCAATTTTTACAGGAGACATTAATTTCATGTAATGACAAATTTTGCTACCATAGGTTACATGGGTTGAGCATGCTGATGAAGTGGATGAAAGAGGTATTCACCACCTCTACAAGCAGCTGGTTAGCTCCGGCCATGCATTTGGCGCAAAACGATGGGTTGCTACCTTGGACCGTCAATGCGAACGCGAACGTCTTGCTAGTGCAATGGCTTCTAACATCCCTACTGGTGATGTTGGAGGTAATAATAATTGGCTTGATATTTCATTATTCGTTTCTTTAATATTTATATGGCTCGAAATTTTACATGTGGCTATTATGTTGCTTCATACTATTGACTAACAGCACAGTCCATTAAAAGATTGGTCATATACTGTTCATGCATGTCCGTTCGTTAATTAAGGGTGCGTTTGGTACGTGGGACGGGACGGGACGGAACGGGACGAGGCGTTCCGTCCCGCGTTTGGTGCGCCAAAAATGGGTGGAACGGGCTGTTCCACGGGACAGATTTTGAGTGTTTTTGCGTTCCACCTCCCTCCCCTGGAACGGGTTTGTTCCACGTTTGTGGAACGCAATGTTTTACCATTTTAAGACAAATATACCCCATGTCTTTTTCAAAAATTACACCTTCGTTCCGTCCCGTCCCGTCCCGTTCCGTCCCGTCCCGTCCCGTTCCGTCCCGTCCCGTCCCGTTCCGTTCCGTTCCGTCTGCGTACCAAACGCACCCTAAGCCTAATTCTTTTCGATGAAAATTAATTAACCGTTATAGGTTATAGTTGTTAAATTCCTGGTTAATTAGTGATCACAAATCAAGAAAGGAGAAAAAGCGTCCTGAAATGGGCTGAAAGAATGATGATTACCTTCTGTGCTGGATTGAGTGCATCGACCACACACACATGGACCACAATGTCCGGAATAGGGGTTGATGACGTCCGGGTGATGACCCGAAAATGTGTGGATGATCTCGGAAGGCCTGCAGGTATTGTGCTCAGAGCCGCGGCATCTTTCTGTCTTCCAGTACCTCCCAAAAGAGTCTTTGGGTTTCTCCGCAATGAGAAGTCTCGCAGCGAGGTACATACACTTGAACTAATCTTAAAGCTGAATTAATAGTCATCTGATTCTTAGAATAAAATTACCAAATTTAATACATGAACCAAATTAATGCGCATATATTTTGCAGAAGCGTGAGATTTATATTTCTATTTATAAATAAGTATTTTTATGCGTGTATCTTAGAAAAATGTAACAAACAAGTATATGAATCATTACTAAAACGGACAACAGAAACATGCATAAAAACAATTTCCACATCAAGTAACTTGGATGGAAAAGGAAAAGTACATACTTTCACATCCTACCTAATACAGAAACAAATACCAGAGAAAATCTAGGTTTCTTGTGTCAACCACATAAAAAAAAGATCACCAAGATAGAAGGTTATGTATTTTACAAATAATCAGAAGCTGGATATAGAAAGCTGATTAGCATCTGCTAAACTGGAAACACAGTTATTCTCCTTAAATTGTTCCAGTTGCAATTGTGATGATCACTACTTGTGCTTGCAGTGGGATATTCTTTCTTATGCGGGAATTTTTAAAGAGATTGGACACATTGCTTATGGTCGCAACACTGGAAATTGCGTCTCTACTACTAGTAAATGTAGATTTATCTTTTGTGTTATGTTTTTTTCTCTAATCAACTACATGTATCTCTCTTCACATCACTAATTACAAAGTAACATAAAATTAATTTGTAGAGTGCCTATTCAAGCAAGAGCAACATGCTGATACTGCAAGAGAGCTGCACTGACCCAACAGCTTCCTTTGTAATTTATGCACCAGTTGACATTGTTCACACGAAAGCCGTGCTGAATGGGAGTGACCCTGACCATGTTCCCCTTCTTCCTTCTGGGTTTGCGATACTCCCCGACGGAGCCGGCATTGGAGACTCTTCCTCTGGTGGTAGTTCGCTTCTCACTGTTGCATTTCAGCTCTTGATTGATTCAGACCCAACTGCTAAGCTGTCTCTTGGGTCGTCAGTCACAGCGGCTAACGATCCTATTGATTGCACTGTTGAGAAGATAAAAGCTGCATTCTCATGCGACAGTGCATGAACTGCATAACTCAATTAGTTACTTTCTAGGTAAACTAATTATACATGTCACATATTACAAATTAATTACATGTCACATATTTGATGTATTATAGGGGTCAGATGATCGTTTTCCTTAAATTTGTTGCAGTATTTTGAGAACGAGGAAGGAAGGTGAAAGGAGAGAGACACAGATGGTGGTAAGGGATTTCGGCAGACCCGGAGGGGAGAAGTGAAGCATCGTGATGCCTTCATTAGTTGTTCCGCTTTCTTTCTTTGGGAAACGTTTAATTGTTCCACCTTTGAACAAACATCTCAAAATGATGGAATTGACGTTTTTGGCGTCTTCGCTTGGGCGCCGGCATGGATGACCAGTTTATTTTTAGTTGTGCCGGATGTGAGATTATGACATCATTCCAACAAATAGTAGGTCAATTTAGGTAAAGAAATGAAAGGAGAAATTGAACATATAGTGAATTTCCATCTTTTGTTTAGGCAAGAAATGAAAGGAGAAATTGAGCAGAGTAGTCAAATACAATCTCTGAAAAGGTGAGCATAAAGGAATTCCTGCAACTGAATACCAGCAACTATGACCAAGCCGAAACCAAATCATCTTGAACTGATAAGATCCAAATCTCTAAGCCCTTAATCAACCTGAAAGTAACACAGAGGCTAGAGAGGAAGGGGGAAGGAAGAGAGAGAGAGAGAGCAGAGCTCCTGAAAACAAATTCTGATCTCATTACAAACCAAAGAGCAAGTGCTCTTATACACAAAGAGTGACTACCGCCAGCTGACACTTCTAACAAATAACAAGTAAAACCCTCAATTACAACTAACTTGACTCTTAATTTGTGATTAAGATAATCACAATCCTAAGTTCATAACATGAACGAAAGATTTCCATGTAACTCTGTGGTTTCATATGCTGTAAATGACATCAATTGCCAAAATCTTCCGATCATTCATCATAAGAGTTTCAACGATATTGATCACTCTCACAACGACTACAAAATCTGGATCAGTTTTGTATCTCAAGCCTTCTTTTTCCTACCCAACGTAGGTCTCTTGCCGATGCTTGAAGTGGTCTTGCAGGATGGTGGCAGAAGCCCCCGCAGTATGGCCAAAACAGCTAACCCCAGAAAAGGGAAGTAAAAATATATCAGCATATCAGAAGCCTTGCCGGACTGAACCAGCTCCGATAATTCAGTAATCTGAAATTTTCACAAAACCAGAATCTGTCATAAGAAAGTGAGGTTGAAGAAAGGGGTTGACATTGACACTTGACAATCCGATATGAAATACAAGTTCAATATTACGGACTTTCATTAGTGCAAAACCAGAAGAACTCCACCTCTCAATCTCAGATAACCCAATTATGATTCACATTGCTTATCTGGAGACTGCAGTGGTGTTTCGTTTCACATCGAATGCATGCATAGATCAGGATGCTAAATGCATCATCACAGTAACACGTTATATTCCAGCTTGGTAGAATTTGATCGAAAGATAACAAACATATGTTCAAATATCATACTTAAAGAATTCTGTAAGCGGATTGATTTCTGTCACGAACTTTGTAATTGTATAGTCTAATAGCAAGATCTAAGCAAGCCAAATGAAAACGTGAAAAAGAAAAGAGATCTAGCAAACACAAGTTGTAAAATCAAACAAAACAATCAAATTGGCTATAAATTATAACTTGATTAAAGACAGAAGGAAGAAAACTTTACGATGGAGCCGAAGAAAGAAACTCCATAGATCAAGCAGGTGGTGTTGAACCAAGACTTGGCGGCCAAAATTCCATACAAGTTGGCCAGCGCAAGAGGCCACTGAAGGAGTAGCTGCAGCCAAACGAGGCCAACAAAGAAATGATGTTTCTCGGTCACAAGATAATGGCCTAAGATGCGCACGTATAACCAGCTCTGGAGTTCAACCAGCCAGTCTGGGAAGAGGCACCGAGGCAGAATTATCTGCGAGTCGAGCAAGGGCGCTGCCACCGCAATTACGATGAAGAAGACGATGAGTGTGGCATCTACAAGCTTCAACAAAGCACCCATTTTGGTTTTTGAGGGTAGATGGCTTTTCTTTGAAACTCTTCAACTTTGTTTTGGTGAACTCTTCAACGTTTGGTTGGTGTAGTTTAGAAGGAAATAAGCAAAGTGATGAGAAGCAATAAATGTCAACTTTATCTTATTCGTAAGAAATCAGAGATAAGATTTATATGATATGTATATAGATAGGGTACAAGTTACAACAACAATCAACTAATTTTTTAATGGCACTGTACATGTGCTACAGAAACCAGATTTCTCCCAAAGAACACAGCAACTTACAACTCGTAGAAATAAATGTGCGGGGGGTAAAGAAGCTCACTCGTCATTATCGAAACAACCCACTTGAGCGGAGCAAAAGATGTCAATAGAGCCAAGCTTTACAAGGATATTATGAAACTGAATCAACAAATAAGGACTTGGCTACGGTACATGCATTTACTTAATGCATTCACCATTTAACAGTTAGATTGGTCATAAACTATATTCTCTCTTTTGAAATTATAAGAGGAGGAGATTCAGGACCCAAAGAAAAAGCTAAAACACAGCAATTTGTGAGGAACTTCCATCTTTTTTTCGAAGTAATTAACAGGAGATGAAGGGAGAAATTCAGCGAAATATTGAAATACAATGTATACAAAACTGGAGAATAGCTACAACGTTAAAAGAAGATATGCAATTAACCGAACCAACTAATAGTGAATCCAATTGCTAAAATCTTCCAATTTGTTGCATAAGAAGGATTCATTTGTTACATTGCTAAAATCTTCCAATTTGTTGCATAACCAGCAACTGAAAGGGAACAAACATGAAACTCTCACAATAACGATAACTCAAAAAATCTAAGTCAGGCAGTTGTCTTTCAGGCCTTCTTTTTCCTACCCAATGTAGGTCTCTTGCCAATCCTTGAAGTAGTCGTGCTGGATTGCGGCAGCAGCCCCCGCAACATGGCCAAAACACCTAATCCCAAAAAAGGGGAGTACACATATAACAGCTTATCAGAAGCCTTGCCGGACTGAACAAGCTCTGATAGTATTGTAACCTGAAATTTTGACAAAACCAAAATCTGTTAAGAAAGAAAAAAGTTGAAGAAGGGTGGTTGACAATCCAATATGGAATAGTTCAACATGACAGACCATGTATGTGCTGCCGAATCCAGAAAAAACTCCACCTCCAATAACCCAATTAGAATTCTCACCACCATTACGTAATAATTATGCGAGTGCTTACGGGTAATGATTAACAGTTTAACACTAACCATGTGACCTTAAGACATTGCTTCGCCTACAATGGTGTTTCGTTACCAATCCAATTCATGCTTAAAATGAGGAAGCCAAATCCATCAGCAGAGCAAACAGTTATTGTTCCGATATGTTAGAATTTGATCGATGCTAATAGTTTTCGGAACTCTCTTATCTGGCTAATAGTTTTCGAGACTTGGGAGCAGCCTCTCCATAAATGGGGGTAAGGCTAGCCGACATTCACCTCTCCCAGACCCTGCGTAAAGCGGGAGCTGGGTACGACCTTTTTAAGTTATATAACATCATTCAAACAAGTTTCGCTTCATTTTCTATCTTGTACATTTTAACATCTTTGACTTCTTAAACCACCCTCGGATTGGATACTACAATTAATCCATGTTAAATCCTATAAAAGTTACAAACTTGGAAGATAATTAACAAGAAAATATATAATTAACCAATTAAAAACTATAAAAAAAAAAATAAGAGAACCAGCAAAACCCAAGATCTAAAACCAAACAAATCACCAATTTGCTATAATTTATAATGTTATTAAAAGAAAAGAAAGAAGAAAACGTTACCATGGAGGTAAATACCGAAGCGCCATAGATCAAACAGGTGGTGTTCAACCAAGACTTGGCGGCCAGAATTCCGTACAAGTTGGCAACCGCCAGAGGCCATTGGAAGAGCAGCTCAACCCAAACGATCCCAACAAAGAAATGAGGCTTCTGGCTCACCAGATAATCTCCATAGGTGCGCGCGTACCAGCTCTTGAGCTCCACCAGCACCTCCGGGAAGAAACTCTGCGGCAGACATGTCTGCCCGTCGATAAACGGCGCAGCCACCGCAATCACGACGAAGAATACGAAGAGCGTGGCGTCTACCAGTTTCAACAGAGCACCCATTTGGAATTTTCGGGGTGGATATCTTTGCTTTCCTTCAATGGATCTCTCTGGTTTGCTCCGTGAAACTTTGGTTTTGTTTGTGCGGTCAAATTTCCTGATCTGAACGACGTGTCGTTTCCTAATATGTTTGGAACATATTCAGACGCCAAGTCGTTTTATTGTTTTTATCCTTACCAACTAGGCAACAGGACCATATTCCTATTCTTTGCATCCCCAACTTGGATGTAGATTTTCAGTTATAACTTGGCTTGCAAGAAAAGTAATAGATTGACGGATTGATTTTGTCTTTCGATACAATTATACTAAGGGAGGGTGATTTCGAACTCAGAAAAGCAAACACCCACAACAAATTTCCTTATTTTAATGAAAAATTAAAAGTTACTGTAAATAAAAAGTTTGTTTTCTTGGCTATTTCAAAAGAAAGCACCCAAAGTTATGCAGGAATAGAATTTCTTTTTATACCTAGGAATAAATTACATTCCAGAAAGCACCCAAAGTTATGCAGGAATATGATTTTTTCCTTTTTCGAGTCGATATTTTACACTAAGCAGAGAGTGAGTTCGGCTAAATCACACAATGGATAGCCTAATTTGGTATTGAATTCGTCATCCACAAGATTCGAACCTAAGACATCTCACTTTCAAGTGAAGAGAAATACCACCAGAAGTACTGAGTGGCAGGAATAGGATTTCTTTTTATACCTAGGAATAAATTACATCCCAAATTAGCTGGGGAAATTTTTTAAACTACAAATTACGAGAAAAAAATAAAGGGTTCGTTTTTTCTCACCCCCTAACTCTTAGGTTTACCACCCTCACTCTTAGGTTACCCCCCTAAATCAAGATAACAATTACTTTCTTCCATATTTGTGCCACGTGTATAAAAAACTAACCATGATTAGTCTATATTCTTATCTTTTTTACGGAAAAGAAAAAATTAAATTAATGAAGAAAAAAAAAATACCATCTGTTCTCTCTATAATATCTCATCATAAATAGTTGATCGACACTAATACCCCCTTTCACCTCCCACTTCTTCGGGCGTAGAAGTAGCAACAACTCCTGAAAGAAAAGCCTTTAATTAATTATCATACACCATGCCACTGCACCTTAATAAATTGAGTCAAGTTGCCTCCAAGAAAGGGTGTATATGAATTCTTTTAAGTGAATGAGGTTCCCCATATTACTCATACGATCCCGAAGTTGCCTACAAGAAAGACTGTATATCAACCAAACTAACATTTCTCTGGTTAATTCTTCTTTCGATTTTCCTGCACTACAGTTTTTTCTTTTCATTTTGATATGTCGTAGCCGAATTGGTAGGACGGGAAAGGGAGTATTAATGCCAATCAATTGTTTGATGAGGATTAGAGAGAATAAATGGTGGTAAGGTTTAATTGTTTTTCTTTTACATAATAAATAATTAAATAGTATAGACTAACTATAGTTACATTTTTTAACATATGACGTAATTCTGGACCGAAAGTAACGATTACCTTGAGTTTGGGAGTGAGCAAATTAAAACGAACTCAAAATTTAAAATGAAAAAAAGAATAAAACTAAAAGAAATATAAAGCAATTAGGAATCCTTATTTAATAAGAACTCCCTTTTGGATTTTCATAATACAATAAGGAAAAAGAGAGGGATTATAAAACCACCCGCTTCTCAACCTTGTTTATGTCCGCGAATTAGAAGTTGAAACTTCCTGTCAAATCCCACAGCAGAACTGGTGATGCCGATACGCGACGTCAAGACCCTCAATCCTATGAAATCCCACTCCGCCACGAAGCTCTCTGCCGATGCGAAAGCATTCTTTCCAGGGAAAACAAGCAGCCGTGATAAACAAAACCCTAATCATTCACCTCTTTTTCCTCCACCCTTGCCCTACCACCAACAACACTATATTCCTCCTCCTATGTTTTATCACCGTACATCATGTCCTACACCGGTCAATCCGCAACTGCAGTGTGTTCAGTTTCCTCCGTTTTACTATGTTCCTCCTAGTTCCGTGATCATGATTGACCAAGGCCTTACGGTTAATCCATGGGCTCCATTACCGCCACAAGATTTACTGGTTTTGAGAAGTAACATCGTTAGACAAATAGAGTATTATTTCAGTGATAAAAATCTAAAGAAGGATCGTTACCTAATTTCGATTATGGATGACCAAGGATGGGTTTCGATATCCACCATCGCTGAATTTAATAGACTCAAGAATATGTGCACCGACATACCGTTTATCCTTGATTCGTTGTTGTTGGGCTCGACCAGTGTGGAAGTGCAGGGTTACAAGATACGGCTACGGGACAAGTGGTTGAAGTGGATTCCGGCTCATGCAGACTCTACCGTAACATCAAAACAGCATATTCAGCCGGAGCAACTTAGGTCTGCCAATAATCGTGATCAAATTGTTGACGCTTCATCTGATGGAAAAGATTCAACGGATCTCTTGCTATCTAGCACTGGACATGGCACTGCAGATGGTGTTCTTGATGGTGGATCTCTTGTGTTTACTGCTGATAATTGAGTTGGCTCATAGATTGGCAATGGGGTTGCTCATAGAATATTGGTTCGGTTTTCTCTGTCTATGTCTCATGATTTGGTTTGCTTGGAAGAACCTGCTGACGCAATTTTCAATATTTTGTTAGGACGATAGATGATAATGTTTCATATTTTAGTGTGTGGTACATATAATTTCCTTCGATTGGGTGAAATTCCTGACAAGGTTTTTTTTGAGGCCCACACTTCTATCCTCTTGTAAGGTTTCTTTACAATGTTTACATGAATGAATAATTGAATATCGTACTCTTTTAGATAAAAGTATTCTTCTGTTGATTTTCAGATTGTGGCCTTTTCGAAAGAAAATCTTACGTGACAATTGGTATACTGAGGATCAATTCAATCTGGATGTGATTAGGAACTTAGCATGAGATGAGAGATACATTAATCGACATCCTTGGAAAATAAATACTGTAGTAACTTATGTTTATCTTTCCTTTTCTTCAAATTCTGATATGTTACCAAGAGTTTATTGATAAATCCAATTAGCAACAACTTTCAATCATTCATAACAAGAGTTTATTGATAAATTGAGAACATGGACACATAATTGACATATATGAACTATCAAAATAATGATAAATTGCAAAATGTGTCTGCAAGTTCAGTTGTACGTCAAGCCTTCTTTTTCCTACCCAATGTAGGTCTCTTGCCAATCCTCGAAGTAGTTGTGTTGGATGGCGGCAGCAGCCCTCGTACTGTGGCCAAAATGCCTAAGCCTAGAAAAGGGAAGTACATATATAGGAGGTCACCTGAAGCCTTGCCAGACTGAAGCAGTTCTGATAATATAGTAACCTGAAGTTTTCAGAAAAGGAAGACATCTTAAGAAAAAAGTTGAAGAAAAGGAAAGATACACAATCCAACATGAAATAGAATTCAATGTGATCATAGACTTTGTAAATTGTAATTAAGTGGTGCAGAAACAGGAAGAAGAAACACCCTCCCCATCATCCAATTATATTTCTCATCACCAATCACCATTAGATATAATTAGGTGAGTTTTTACCGAATTAACTGTAATGACTAAAATTCAACATGTGAGCCTAAGACACTACTTTCACCTTCAATGGTGTGTATCGTTTCTAATTCAATGCATGTCTAAAACGAGGGTTACAAAATAAAATGTGGTAATATGCATGTATGCTGCAGATTAACGAGGAATTCCCAACTTCACAACCAAATTCGATAATCTACTAGTTGAATCAACAGAGTGTGATGTCAGGATTTTATACCACTTTGGTTTAGAGTTATAGGTTTAACCGATGCTAAGAATAGATAACATAAGCACAATAGTTTTCAGAAGTCTATTATCTAGCTATCTAATTTTTTTTTAAGCACCCACTTCCTCAACATCTTTCACTTGATTACTTTCTCCTTTCTTCTTTTTAGTGGGCCTGCCATGAAATCTGATCGACCACTTTAAACTTCCCAAAGAAAATCAACATGACTCGTACATCCAACCTTATTTGATATCACAATCATTCTGTCTTAAATCCTTAACTATAACTAAAGGTTACTCATTTGGAACTTTTTTTTCATTTCTAAATGATCATTTAAAAAATGAATTATAATGTTAGGGACTTGTAGAGCAATGGGTTAAGAGCAGACCATGTACTCGATTCTCCCCTCATATCACTTGTATAAAACCGAAAGTACTATAACATTACCAATGGAAAACAAGATAAGGGAATCTAAAAAAACCCAAATTGTGTTTTTTTTTTTTTTTTTACAAGAAAAAAAACCCTAGTTCTAACTAGAATCAATAAAAACAACAAATTGGCTATCAAGTTATGATGTTATTAAAGAACAATAAAACGAAAACTTTACCATGGAAGTGAGGACCGAAACGCCATAGATCAAGCAGGTGGTGTGGAACCAAGACTTGGCGGCCAATATTCCGTACAAGTTGGCAAGCGCGAGAGGCCATTGAAAGAGCAGCTCGAGCCAAATGATCCCAACGACGAAATAAGGCTTCTGGGTCATCAGATAATCGCCATAGCTGCGCGCGTACCAGTTCTTGAGATCAGTCAATGCGTCCGGGAAGAGGCTCTCCGGCAGACATATCTGCGCGTCGATTAACGGTGCTGCCACCGCGATCACGACGAAGAAGACGAACAGTGTGGCGTCCACAAGCTTCGCCAAAGCACCCATTTTACTTTTGGAGTAACAGAATTACAGATTCATTCGTTTCTTCCTGATCCCAACGACGTGTAATTTCTTAATATATATGTTTGTTGCACTAACACACGCTCAATCGTATTTTTCGTATTGATTTGTTTTATTGTGAGGAAAATCTAAAGACTACTGAGGGGGATGTAGCTTAGATGGTAGAGCAAGCCGATCGATGCCCCGTATCTGCATATTTTCATTTTTTTTCTTCCTCTAAATAAAAGATTTCATGACTGACTAACCTATGTGTAATAATTATTCATAACCCTTCTAACTTTATAATTCTCCTTCTTTTTTTATACAAGTGATGATGAAAAAAGGAAAATCGAACCTTAAGTAATCGAGTGCATGCATGCATAAATATTTTTAACCGCTTGAGTTATACAAATTCTTGCTCTGTTTTTTGTGCATGTCAAACATGATAATCTTTTTTTTGTTCAAAAATATTTTTTTTTAAAAGAAAAAAGGTACTAAAAGATACGTTAATGGCTCATATTTTGGAATTGGAGTAATTAGGTTTTCATCCTTATTTTTACTACTCTATTGATTAAAACCTTATTACTTTTCAATTTTTGATCAAGGTCCTTTGTATTAATAATATCATTAATTATTTCAATAATAAAATATTTTTTATTTCTAAATATATTCATTTAATATTAAAAATATTACAATTAGTATATTTATATTTATGGCTAAATTTTTTATCATATATTTTTATTTTTAGTTTGTACCCATTTTTAATTTGCAACCCTTTTTTAATTTGTACCAATTTTCCTTTCAGTTTTAATTTGTACCCATATATTAATTTCTTTTTGTGCCCATATTTTTTAAAGTTTTATTTGTATTGTACCCATATTTTTTTTATTTATTTGTACCCATTTTTATTTTTGCTAAATGTACCCATTTTGAAGAATGTACCCATGTTTTGATACAATAATTTTTTGGTTATTTTTTATGAATGTACCCATGTTTACACACACACACACACAATAGTATATTTATATTTTAATATTTTTAATCCCACAAATTATGGTTTTTTATTTAAAATCTCATTACTATAAACAACTATAAATTTTAATTTTTAATTTAAAAAATATAGTAACGTACATAGAAATAAATTATCAATTAATTTCAGGGACTTGGATCAAAAATTGAAAACCAACAAGGTTTCAGTCAAAAACTATTCATAACTAGGGACCGCATCCAAAGTCTCCCTTTGGAATTTTTAGATTATGCATATTTGACATGTACCTTTTTTTATTAGAACTTAGGTATACTCTTTGTATAAAAACGTATTCGGTACTTTATTGGAGAAAGTCAGATAAAAAATTCAGAATTTTCAAAATTTCTAAATACATTCCAATTTACATCCAAGGTTTTCAGAATATTAAAATTTTGGGATTTCAAACTCGAAATAGAAATTCTTGTACCCAAACTGGAATCTCAATTTCTTATCCAAGTGGACCTTCCAATAGTACAGTGAGGAGTCCAAAACATTGCAGCCCATAACATTGTTTTCTTTTGTCAACTCTTTCACATAAAGGAGTTCATATAAAAAATTAAAAATCAGGTTCTCACTTCGTGTATAAGAACTGCAAAAAGAAATGATGAAATAAAATATTTGAGTTCTAGTTGATTTTCATATCCTTTGTTTACTATGGCTAAAATAATGGTGGCGGAGGGTGGCAGTAGCCCATGCAGAATGGTGAGGACACTTAAAACAATTATCACAATTTAGCTGACTGATTAGTGTATTCTAGGCAACTTGTGATAAGCATGTGAGTGCATGAGGTTAAAATTCTGCATCGTTGATCATGCCAACTAGTTGTTGGAGGACATAATCTCATAATGGTCATATGACAAAATAATATATGATTACTATATGGAGTTTTCACTTCTAACATCACTGAAACTTTTTGTGATAAAACTCAACACTTAACAATAGGTAGTTAAGTTGAGACAATATCAGTGATATTGATGGTTGACCATGTTGGACCTATAAAGTTTATCACTCATATGCATCAGATCGATCAAATCAAACTCTAAAGTTAAATGAGTTTTGGTGAGACTAGTCCTAGGTGTAAAGCAATAGATAAGGAAGATCAATCCAACGGCCAAGAAGATGCCATCTATCAAGAGATTAAGTGATATGGTTGTTAGTTTGTTAAGGATTTGTTACTTGTTGTACAAGTAGTGTGAAGTGTATAAATAGGAACCTTTTGTATTCATTCAGACAGTTAGTGAAAGCAATAACAAACAGTGCAATTCTCTCTCATTCTCTTCGATCTCTCTCTCTCTCTACATTCTTTGTTTACAATCTCTCTCTCTCTAAAACACCATTGATAATCTTCAAGCTCAAGGTAGTTAATTCAACATGGTATCAGAGCCGGTGGTGGCGTCTCTCTGATCCTGATCTTCTCTCTACTTCCGCATTCATCTCTACGATTTCTAAATTTGCATTCATCTTTGCGAATTTCTGTTATGCAATTCTTCTTCTGGAGTGCTATAGTGTATGTGCCTTCTCCTCTTGATTTCGAAGCTTGATTCTTGCTTATCAGGTGTTTAATGAAATGTGTATGTGAATTTTTCTATGTGATACTCTTCTCTGTATAATTGAAATTGATTTTCGTCTCAAGATTGATCAAGAACAGTCTTCAAACCCTAAAGTCTTGTAAGAAATTATGTTTGCTTGTACAATTTGCGAAAACATGGTGATTGATGCACAACTAGAAATTGTGCAATCTCCAATTACGAATTTAATCCCTAATGTGTCCACTTCTGTGACTGTGAAACTGGATGATACAAATTACCTAGTCTGGCATTATCAAATGCAATTGCTTCTTGAAAGTCATGGGATTCTTGGCTTTGTGGATGGTTCTCGATAATGTCCTACTAGGTTCATTGATAATTCTGATCTTGAAAGTGTTGAAACTGAAGCATATCAGATATGAAAGATGCATGATCGTGCTTTAATGCAACTTTTCATTGGAACTTTATCTGTTACTGGAATGTCTTATATAATTGGCTGTACCCATGCAACTGAAATGTGGATGAGTCTTCACGATAGGTTTTCCACTGTCACCAAAGCTAGTATATTTCAATTGAAAACTGAGCTTCAAAATATTAAGAAGGGAACTGAGTTAATTTCTCAGTATCTACAAAGGGTAAAGGATGCTCGTGATCATTTGGCTGCTGCTGGAGTATCATTTGCTGATGACGATATTATCATCATTGCTCTCAAATGGTTACCTTCCGAGTACAATACTTTTAGAACAGTGATTCGAGGGAGAGACAATGTTATTTCACTAAAAGACTTTCGAGCTCAGTTGCTTGCTGAGGAAGCTGTTATTGAAAACTCTCCACTATCTAGTTCTTTTGTTCCTGCTATGCTAGCTCACGGACATGACTCTAAATGGAAAGGATTACTACTTGCAGAGGATTCTTCTCCTACAAACAGCAATTAGTCATCACAATATCAAACTGGAAGTTCTTCTTATTCTAATAATAGTAGTCACAACTATAGTTCTGGAGGCTACACTAATGGTGGCAAAAACTACAATTCTGGAGGATTTCGAGGCTCTAATTTTAGAGGCCGATCTCGAGGTCTAAATCATTTTGTGACTCCAAGATTTTCTGGTAGCAATTACAATAATGGTCTCGGGATTCTTAGTCATGCAAGACCTCATGTTTCTACTTACTCTGAGCACGACAATAATGTGCCCATCTGTCATATTTGTACCAAAAAAGGTCACATTGCCTCTGATTGTTTTCAAAGGCACTTTTCTACACCAGTTTCATCTTTACCCATCTAGTGCCAAATTTGCTAGAAATTTGGGCACTCTGCACTTCAATGCTATCACAAGGCTAACTTTTCTTATCAAGGAAGGTAACCATCACCAAATCTCACTGCCATGAATGCCACTTATCAACCTTCTACACCACAAGAACAGTTTTGGGTGGTTAACACTGGAGCTACATCCCATATAACCTCTGAATTGGCAAACCTTAATCTTGCAACTCCTTTCATAGACACTGATACTATCACCACAACTAGTGGTTCAAGTTTAGAAATATCCCATACTGGTTTTTCAACTTTAAGAGCTCCTAAATATGCTTTTCAGTTGAAAGAAATTTTACATGTTCCAAAACTGTCACAACATATGTTGTCAGTATATCAGCTCTGTAAAGATAATCATTGCAGGTTTATATGTGATGAGTTTTGTTTCTGGATACAGGACAAGATCATAGGGAGAATACTTCTTCAGGGGCTATGTAGAGCTGGATTGTACCCGATTCCTTTTCACATACCTCCATTCATACTCAAGCAAACATATCAAACATCTCACTTACCTAAACAACAACACTGTCTCATTGGTCATCAAGTCAACACATCTCTTTGGCACAACATATTAGGCCACCTTTCCAATCTTGTTGCTGCAAGAATGTTGAACCAATCTCAGGTTCCATTTGCATTAGACCAATCTAGGCATGTGTGTATCTCTTGTTTAAAGGGCAAAATAATTAAATTGCCTTTCACTTTTACTGCAAATAAAATTGTACAACCCTTAGAAGTCATCCATAGTGATGTTTAGGGGCTATCTCCTACATTGTCAATAGAAGGCTTCAGGTTTTATGTTACTTATATTGATGAATGTACCAGGTTTACCTAGATATTTCCATTAATGAATAAAAGTGAGGTGTTTCAAACATTTGTGCAGTTTCATGCTTTTTTATCTACTCAGTTTTCCAGTGCAATTAAAATCTTTCAAAGTGATGGTGGTGGTGAATTTTCCAGTAACAAGTTCAAATAGTTTTTACTTGACAAAGGCATAATACATCAACAATCTTGCCCATATACACCTGAACAAAATGGCTTTGCTGAGAGAAAGCATAGGCACATTGTTGAAACTGCCCTCACTCTTATGCATACCTCCAAAATTACCTTCCCAGTTTTGGTTTCATGCCTGTGCCACTGCAGTTTATTTGATAAACAGAATGCCATGTACTACTCTGTCTATGAGATCTCCCTATTTTTATCTGTTTGGTACATTTCCCATCTTAACCCATTTGAAAACATTTGGATGTAGTTGTTTTCCTTTACTGAGACCCTACAATACTACTAAACTTCAACCCAAAACTACCCAATTTGTGTTTATGGGTTATGCAGGGCAATACAAGGGTTACTTCTGTTTTCAACCAAATACAGGCAAATTGTATGTGTCTAGGCATGTCATGTTTGATTAATATACTTTTCCTTACACAACTTTGGTATCTAAAACTCCTCATTTGGAGTGTGTTTCAAAATGTACTTCTTCCCAGCTTATTCCACTTCTCAGAGAAAACAACACAGTGATTTCCAATCCACCATCATCTTTTTCACCATTAATATCACATTTCATTCATTCATCATTATCATCCGCATCATCTACATCCTTACCACCTCGAGCTTCAAAGTTATTCATTGAACCAACTAGTGCTTCAGAGTCTTTGAATGTACATTATTCAGCTCCAGAGTTGTTCACTACTACACATGCACCTAATACCTTATCCCAAGCTTCAAACTTATTCTCTCCAGACTCTATCACAGCTACACAGTCCCAAATCCCTGATGATCCTGATTTTCAATCTGAAAATCTTACTGTTGTGCTTCCAGTTTCTTCAGTCAATCTGCATCCTATGCAAACTTGGTCTAAAAATGGGATTGTTAAAAGGAAAGCATACTCAGCTACTGTTTCTTCATCTGACCATTTTATTGTTGAGCCTACCACTTATAAAGCTACTAGTAAAATCCCAGGATGGCAAGCAGTTATGCAAGATGAGATCACTGCTCTACATTTGCAATAGACCTGGGATCTTGTTCTCCTTCCAAGTGGCAAAAATCTTGTTGGTTGCAAGTGGGTTTATCAACTTAAAAAGAATCCTGATGAGTCCATGTCCAAGTACAAAGCACGGTTAGTTGCCAAGGGTTATAGCCAAAATGAAGGGATTGACTATAGTGAGACCTTCAGTCCAGTAGTCAAACCAACTACAGTACGATTAATTCTCGCTCTTACTACTCAGTTTCATTGGGATTTGAGACGATTAGATGTCAAAAATGCGTTTTTGCATGGTGACTTAAATGAAGAGGTGTATATGGCTCAACCTCCAGGGTTTTTCAGTAATGATCATCCATCTCACTATGTTTGCAAGCTAAAGAAATTGTTATATGATTTAAAATAGGCTCCTCGAGCTTGGAATGAGAAGTTTACAAGTTTTCTTCCAGGTTTGGGTTTTCAACCTTCCCTTGCAGATCTCTCTCTCTTTGTGAAACATACTGAGCTTGGCATTGTGGTGTTATTACTATATGTTGATGATATCATTATCACTGGTAGTACTTCAAGTGACATTTCCCAGTGATCTTGGCTCTTACTCAACAATTTGATATGAAGGACTTGGGACAACTCACTTATTTTCTTGGTTTACAAATACAGTATCAATCTGATGGTTTATTTGTTTCCCAATCCAAATATATCAAGGATCTCTTGGAAAAAGGTTGATATGCAAAATGCCAAAGCTTGTGCTACTCCTTGTCTTCCTTCTCACAGGCTTCTTAAGGAAGAAAGGCAGCCCTATCACAATCCTGAACAGTATTGTAGTGTAGTTGGTGCATTGCAATATCTGACATTTACCAGGCTAGACATTGCATTTGCCATAAATCAATGCTGTCAATTTATGCATCATCCCATGGATTCTCATGTAGTTGCAGTCAAACGGATTCTTCGATATCTCAGTGGTACAATGACCTATGACATACATTTTAAACCTAGAAAATTGTTCTTACAAGCATATAGTGATGTTGATTAGGTTGGGGATCCAAATGACCATCGTTCAACTTCTAGTTGTATTGTCTATCTCGGTGCAAGTCTAATTTATTGGGCATCCAGGAAACAACACATTGTTTCTCAGTCGTCTACTGAGGCAGAATATAGAGCTTTAGCTATAACTGCTGCTGAAATGGTTTGGATATGACAACTTCTGTGCGATTTACAGGTTCCTTTATATGCTCATCCAACGATGTATTATGACAATATCTCTACTATAACACTGTCTTCTAATCCATTTTTTCACTATCGAGTGAAACATATTGAGATAGATTATCATTTCGTTCATGAAAGAGTAGTTCGAGGAGACTTGGCTGTTCATCATGTGTCTTCAAAGGAACAATTTGCCGATATCCTTACAAGGGGTCTGTCTATATCTTTGTTTCAGCGTCATTGTGCCAATCTCATGCTTGGTTGCACCAACCATGTGATTGAGGGGGGATGTAAAGCTATAGATAAGGAAGATCAATCCAATGGCCAAGAAGATGCCATCTGTCAAGAGATTAAGTGATATGGTTGTTAGTTTGTTAAGGATTTGTTACTTATTGTACAAGTAATGTGAAGTGTATAAATAGGAACCTTTTGTATTCATTCAGACAGTTAGTGAAAGCAATAACAAACAGTGCAATTCTCTCTCATTCTCTTCGATCTCTCTCTCTCTACATTATGTGTTTACAATCTTTCTCTCTCTAAAACACCATTGATAATCTTCAAGCTCAAGGTAGTTGATTCAACACTAGGATGGGGGATTATTTCCTAAGAAGCCCTCATTTGCATCCTTTTCGTGACTTCGTTTGTGTCTTCTTCCCTGAGGGGTATGCATTTTAACTTACGGCCACCAAAAAAATCCCAAATAAACACCAACAGCATGATTGACATGCCATTAGTTCATAACAATTCTTTCTCATCAAGACATTAGAATTTAAGGTACATAGAGGTAACAGAAGAGAACAACTAAAAGACGTAAATTTTGATAAAGAATCTGAGTTCTAAGTTTCTTTCCGATACTTTGGTTGGCCGGTGCTTTTTGTTGTTCTTTTGCCACTGGTTGAAGTATTGGCGGTAGATGGAGGGAGCAACCCGCGCAGTATGGCCAGGATGGCAAAGCCCACAGCAGGGTAGTACAACATCAACATTGTATTAGATGCCTTGCCGGACCATAACAGCTCTGGTAAAATAGCGCCCTGCAATTTTCATGAAGGCAGAGAATATGTAACAAGTTAAAGAAACTAAGGAATCTTTTATAAACATCGCTCCATACATGTAAAAAAAAAGAAAAAAACTAATTTTCGGAATTGTCATAGTTCTAATTCTAATTCTAGGAGAAGTTCCAAAAACAGTGTCTTTGTGACTGTCTCACACTTAATTAACAAACGCCTCATACTCATGAGAAGCTTATTGAGTGTGAGAGCTACACTGAAAAATCACTCGGTACTTAACACCTCCATCAAAACCAGTCTAACTAAATCTTAACAAGAAATTGAACAGTGTAGAAACAGGCAATTAAAACACATTAATCATAGTGACAAATCCATTTAAATTGTCAGGTTGCCGTGTAAATATGATATACTTAATCGACTTTAAATTATCAAAATCTTGGAGGTTTCAACATGGTTTGTTTATATTGTATTATTTGGACTAGTTTGAAGAAGCAAATAATCAGCACCCAAGTGAAGAATCAGTATGTTTACAAAATTTATATTAAAAAGGTTAAAAAATAAGATTGTCCTTGAAGAAGGTGATTTTTTTGTTTTTATCAAACTTTAATTGATGTTAGAATAGATTTTACTTTTGATCAGTAGCCAGGTACATCATTCTATATACAGAATACGTAACTACGTGTATAATCATAATAAAGTAGCTAACTGAATTCTCAAAAATTAAATTCTAATCTACCATTGGAGCTTGTTAGAAATGACAGAGAAGGATTATACCATGGTGGTGAAGAAAGAAGCGCCATAGAGCAAGCAAGTGGTTCTGTACCAAGGCTTAGCTGCCAAAATCCCATACAAGTTGGCAACGAGAAGGGGCCACTGCAGTATGAGCTCAACCCAAACGAGACCAACAAAGAAATGAGGCTTCTCTTCACCAAGATAATCGTCGAACTCCCTGACATACCAGTTCTTGAGCTCCACCAGCGAGCTTGTGAAGAGGTTCTGAGGTAGACACAACTGCACGTCTATTAGCACCGCGTTCGCCGCCGCTATGGCGAACATTACGAAGAGTATGGCGTCGATTATCTTCACAAAAGCACCCATTTTAGGTTTTGATTTGCTCTCTTTCTCAGCTTGTTTAGTGTGGTGGTATTGAACCAATGCTATTAGCAGGCAAAAGTGGATCTTGGAGATATTTGTATGGGCCTACTGGCACACCATCATTGAAGTCTACTCTCATTAATATTATATAATTTTAGAAACTGCCATTTTTTTAAATAATCCATCAGTAACATGCATGTTAACTACTTCAGCAATTTCTTATTGTTAGACAATTTGATACATAGTGTGAATCCAGAATTTTTCTTTGTTTGGTGCAAAAAATTTAGGGAGAGAAAGGCTACTCTATTTCAGGTTTAGGGCGTACTATATAAGTCTTTTTGAAGATTTATAGACAGGGTTTTAGCCTTTTTTTTTTTTTTTTTACATATCACCCACATCAAGAGAAATTGTCGACATCGGGACACAAATTTAAAACTTAGTCTAGATAAAAAATTTCAATATAAGGAAATAATATTCAAAAGTAATATCTTGATTAGTAAATATAGTAAGACAACCTCAAGAACCAATTAGCGTTTGATTTAGCGATCGTTATCTTCATTTGGAGGAAGTCTCAATTTAACTTTAGTTGACTTTATAACATATATGATATACGTATATTAGGACATTATATATTTGTGATGAGCCTTATACATACCAGGTTTTCACTAATGATTGCATAACTTATATATTTCTATTGTGTGGAAAAATAATATTTAAGTAGAAAAATAAAACATACCAGAATATTTTCCTATGATTTTACCCTTAGAGTGGATAACAAATAAATTTGTGTTATGATTGATAAGGCAGATATTATATAGTCAGTCAAGATTCTTCATTGAAAGACAGAACAGTTCCAGGTCCCAACTATAACAGCCCATAACATCAACATAGCAGAATTGCAAAAGAAATTATAAAGTTTACAGGAAAAAAAACGAAGAAGAAAGGATAAAAGATTTGAATTCTAAATTATTTTCTTTGCTGGGGCGGTTCTTTTGGTTGTTCCTTTGTCGTGGGTGGAAGTAGTGGTGGCGGGCGGTGGGAGCAGTCCGCGCAGTATGGTGAGCACAGCGAACCCCATAGCAGGGTAGTACAAAATCAACATTTTATTAGATGCCTTGCCGGACCATAACAAGTAACAACTCCGGTAATAAATTGCCCTGCAATTTTCAGCATGCCAGAAAATATTTAACAAGTTGAAGAAACTAAGGAATATTTTGCAATTATCAGCTCATACAAGTTAAAAAAAATTAACTTTTAAAGTTCCTTTGTTAGTCAGCTCTAATTCTAGGAGGAGTTCAAGAAAAAAAAGGCATAAGCCCCATTTGCTCTCCTCCATCTTTTTCATCTGTTATTAAACATACAGGTGATGCTATTTGAACCACATTTCCTGATCACATTGTTAATTATTTCTCTAATACAAATGTGTTTTAGGGTTCGTAAATGTGGTCATAGAACTACAAATAGCATTATTCAAATGTAAAAAATAAATAAAAAAATAAACTCTTTTTACCATATGTGCATGTATTCTTTGTCACTTGTTTCATGACTTAAAAACAAAAAATGTCAATACACACTCGAGAAACTTTTTTCATCCGGAATTTGGAGGGGGTGGGCCATGGATTGTGATGTGAGAGAGCGTAGGGTTATTACATGGGGTAGTGGTAGGCCTCAATGTCAAGAGGTGAGGTATGTGAACTTTATTGTGTCTCGGCCGCACAGACACGTGTTCGAATACTGTATCCATAATTTTATCTCACACTCGCATCCTTAATAATCAAAACCAATCTAACTCTCAACAAAGAAAGTAGAGAAGCAGATAGCTAAACTAGCTAGAATAATGTACTCTCATCCGAATTTCCTTCCGCATAATTTAGATTAATTTAGTTTAAACTATGGCTTGCTTAAAAAAAATAAAAAAATCTCATCCACCCAAGAAATAGAGAGGAATGTTACCGTGGTTGTGATGAAAGAGGCGCCAAAGACCTAGCAGGAGGTTTTGTACCAAGGCTTAGCAAACCAAATCCCATGCAAGTCGGCAACCATAAGAGGCCACTGGAATGTAAGCTCAACCCAGATGATGCCAATCAAGAAATGAGACTTCTCCGCGACGAGATAATCATCAAACTCGCGGATATACCAGCTCTTGAGCTCCACCAGCGAATTTGAGTAGAGGCTCTGAGGCTGACACAACTGTGTATCTACCAACGCCGCTAACACCGCCGCGATCTTCAGAAAAGTACCCTTTGTTTTTCTCGATCTCTTTCTCAGTTTTGATATTGCTAACTCGATTCAAAAATATACTTTCATAGGCACCAAGGCACAATGCACCATCTTTGAACCTTGAAGCTAATTAGGCAAAGTCTACTGCCACTAATTAAATATTAATCTTCATTTGGTCATTGTTTAATATCCACTAACCAACGTCCATGCTTCAGAATCAGAAATGAATTCTTATTAAACAATTTGATAGGCAAAGAACCACCATGATTGATACAATAACGTACCAAACTGTTTGACAAAAAAACATTACTCCACTGATTCGTAACAAGAATAATTGGGAAAATTACCATTCTACAAAAAACCAGTACATTTTGTTCTTGAAATATATTAATTTCCTCCATAAAATATAAAGTCTTAACTAGGCACGACGCAAATGGCAATTACAATGATGAATTAATACAAATTACTCTGATGATGAGATCGATTCGCGTTTACAAAATTTGGGTTGAAGTTGGAGCGCGAGTCTTTTTCTCTATTAAACTTTCTTCTTCCTACCTGAAGCAGGTCTTTTGCCAATGGTTGCAGTATGATTGGTTGATGAGTTGGGTAGCAGCCCACGCAGTATGGCTAAAACACCCAAACTCAAGAAACAGTAGTACACCGTCAGTAGCTTATCAGGTGCCCTTCCTGACCATGTCAATTCTGCAAATATTGGCACCTGCATGAAAAATTAAGGGAGTAAACACATTTTAGAAGAAGATAAACGATAATGATTAATGAAAAATTAATGGACGTGATTGTGATTTATATCTATTACATGAAAAAGGAACTGTTATAAGTTGTATCCTCTCAACTGATCATTTTATGCAGATTTCTCTAATGAATGTGACTCGCATACACGAATCCCACACGAATGGGTGACATGGGTCTTGTATTAAAAAAAAATTATATATTAGGCAAACCGTCAATTGAGATTGTATAAATAATTTTATTTGAACGGTTATGGAACGCTAGCAATATGAATAATTACCATGGAAGTGAAAAGAGATATTCCGTAGCTTAAGCACGTAATGTTGAACCAAGGCATGCTAGCCAAGATGCCATAAAGGTTAACAAACACGAGAGGCCACTGAAAAACAAGCTCAATCCACATGATCCCGACGTAGAAATCAGGCATTTCGGTCATGAGATAGTCGCCGGACTCGCGAGTGTACCAGTTCCTGAGGTCCACGAGAATGTCTGGGTAGAGGTTGCGAGGGAGGCATGCTTGCGCTTCAATCAACGGTGTTTTGAAAGCGATCGCCAGGAGCAAGAGGAAGAGTAACGCATCAATGAGCTTGACAAGAACACCCATTTTCGTTTTTTCTTGCTTAGTTTTGGAGGTTTGGCCTAGCTAAGTTTGCGAGGAAAGGAGAATAGCTAGCCAGGGAGAAATGAGAATGGTAGCAAAAAGAGGATCTTGGAACTTTGAAAACTCAACATGGGGTGCAATTTATATTGGGTGTTTTGACTGGAATTGGATCCTCTTTGGATCCCTGGGATCCCGGAAATCAATTAATAACAACCATTCATCAAAGATCGTGCAGTCACAGTTTTTTTTCTTTTCTTTTATATTTTTCATGCAAAACAAGACTATTTTACCTTTGAAAATATAAAAAATATTCAATTATGATCGCACAATTTTTGATGAACGATTGATATTAATTGATCTCCTAATTCCCAACAAGGAGATCCTTCCGTTTTGACTCACTCACACAGGCCCCTCATATGTTTGGGCCATTTAAAATTGCTTGGCTATCAATTGGGCTTGGCAAATGAACATATCCTTATTTTCCATCTTAATAAAAATAACATTGTCATTTTTCAAAAGTAACGAAATCAAAATGAAAATAAAGATGATGGCTTCATGGGGTAAATTCAATACCACTTTTAGTGAAAAGGATTGGGTGATGCTATTTATGCATTTCTTTTTACCTTTTAAACATTATTCTTAATTTTCGGTCATTGATCGAATAAATTGAGACTCTTAGTGTCCCACATCGGGAAACAACAATCTTTCAAAGGCCTTTATATAGGTCTAGTCCTTTTTACTGGTGATTAGGTGTTGGACTATTTGAAATGGGGATTGAGGTTTGGCCACTAATTGTGTGTGGATTAGGTTTGATGATTATACCATAATATTAATATTAATTAATATTAATTAATCAAGACAAGGGCCTTGGGCCTAAGAATTAAAATTAATCTAATCAATTAGTTTTAATTTTTTAATTAAGTTTTTAATTAAAATTAATTAAAAAAAACTTTTTGATTAATAGACACAACTCTTTGGAAAGAGTTGTATAGCTTCAGATACATCCAAAAAGTATTTGAAGAGGTATGAAAGAGCCTATATAACTAGAGTTCTTAGTTCCATTGAAAATCATCATTTCTTCCTCTTTTTCTTCCGTACAAAATTCTCAGAGAGTAAATACACAAAGCAATTCGCTAGAATTCTATAATCCAGTGCAGGTTGTAGAATTAGGTAGTTGTATCATGGTCGAGCAGACGTTGTAGAACCACAAGCACAAGAGTGGAACAGAAATACTGTTCGAATGACATAGCTTTAGTGCTAGCCTCTACCTTTGATTCATTCAAGTTAGTATCATTTTAATTTATGTATTTATTGTGTAATTTCATTATGTATTGGAAGTATTTTTGAATAATAAAGTATAAGTATTTCAGTTCTGTAGTTCTGTTATTTTGTTGTTTCTAAATTGTTCTCCAACAGTTGATAGTCGAATTGTCGATTTTTGTTCTAAAAAGAGTAAACTGTTGTTTTACTCTTTGAGTTATTATCTTAGTTGAAATTGACCATTGTACTATTTTTTTGGTAAATTAACCCCCTCAATTATTTGAAATCAATCAATTAATCCCTCACTGTTAGATTTGATAAAATTTCATCCACTTTGTTGTTAAATACTAATACAACTTTATCCTTAAAAATGAATCACATGCTAGTATTTGACAGCAAAATGGGTGAAATTTCATCAAATTTGAGTACGAGAGGTTAATGGAAATTTTAAAATAATTTTGGTGATTAATTTATCAAAAAAATAATTTGGAAAGTTAATATCAACTGAAGTGACAATTCAGAGGATCAAATAGCAATTTACTCATAAAAATGGTAGTAAATTTTTAAAATAAAATCACATGATGAAAAACAATTTCCTACCATTTAGTATTACGATTTAGTGTTATTTTTCTTTATTTATAAATGAGAAGTTTTATATTCGATTCTCACAAAAAATGAAGTTAAACTACATTATTACTAATCTATTATGAAATTTAGCCGACCCTCCAACCCTTTAATATCTAAAATATCGTTTGTTAAAATAAAAATAAAAAATGGCACTCCCATTACATCGTTGGCCCAATGTATTACAGTATTACTATAGAATTGGGACCGAAAGAGCCGAAGGCTGAAGCTTGAGCTGCATACTTTTACCTGAACGATGAGCGAGACTCGACCGGTGCCAAGGAGAGAGAGCCCATGGGGGAGGCCGGAGGGTGATCATCGCGAACCGAAGGCCCACCGATGCAATGACCGGGCGGAGGACGTCATCCAGGTAACCCAATACCCTCCCCTTTTTTCCTTTTAATTTTAGGATCTCTTATGCTTATGTGAGAATTGAGATATGCAGCTAAATTTATGCAAGAATATCAGTTTTCTAATTAGATTATTGAACTTTCTTATCAGAGGAAATTGATTCAACATTGAGTTGGAATTTAATTGTTGTTCTGGTTGCTCTGTGTTTATGGGTGTGCTTGTTTGAAATGTTTTGATGGGCTTTTGGGTACGAAGAAGTGAATGCAAGTGATTTCCAGCTAAGTAATTTTTCGACTGCTCGCGGTTGATGGATCTAATTGTATGGTTTTTAGTTTAATTGTGTGTTTGTGCTTGGTATAAGTTGAATTTTCAATTGAAATAATGGGAATTTCGCTTTTGAAAGAATTTAGTCATGCATCAAAACTGCATTTAGACCTTCTATAGTTTAGGATCTCCCTATATGTTTCTACTGAATCACATTTTTTTTTATTAGTTATCGTAACTAGTAAAGCGGGAGCCTTGTGCACTGGGTACGACCTTTTTTTTGTTTTTTAGATATCGTAACTAGTAAAACTGAGCACAATGTTTGCCTTTTCCCCCGGTTAATCACAATGTTTGTTGTTTGGGATTAGTGTAAAGATGCTGAATGTAGAGCAAGAAAAAGTTAAGTGAATCAATACTAGCGTAGCTCATCGGGGATAAGGAGGAGGGCATTTGCAGATGTCTGTTTGTGGAAGTGAGGAAAGAAGTTCACAAGTAAGAGGATTCATCTTCAATGTGAAGGTGTCATCATCAGTCTTTATATATGAGCTAGATTTTGGTGATACTGAGTGATGATTGTGTTGGGAAAGGACTTGGAGAGTGTGTGCTGATTTCTTTCGAGTAGTAACTTTGAAAGGTTGCGACTTCCCTTGATTTTTGTAGCTGCTTCCAGAAAGATCATGTTAAAACGGCCTAAATACTTTCTTACTTTTGTTCTCTACGAGAGAGGACTAGTGTGAAAATTTTTAGAAATCAACATTAGCAGTGTTTCGTTCCAATTTTGTCAGTTGATCTTTGCTTGTTTCTTGTGTAGGCTTGTTTTGAGGGAAACCCATTTAAGACGGTTCCAGGGCCATTTAAGCTCTTCTGGCAGTGCATGCGATCTAAACCCGGGTATGATTGACCTTTAAAATGTTGTCCCAGTGTATACTTATGTATCATATTTCTACATATATATATATATATAGATAGATATATATATATTTATAATTACACATGTAATGCTGCATCAGTTACATAATTCAATACGTGTTACGCTGCCTTCTGTGATTTCTGAAGCATTTGTGTTGTTCTGCAGGGAGGAACCAACAGAGCCATTTACATATTTGCAGCTGGATCCCCCGACAAGAGAGGTGAAACTTGAGTGAAACCACCTTTGTTATCGGAATCAATATCGCTCTTAGGTTGGCGCATTGTCTCAAAATTTCCAGTTTTTGTTATCTTTTCTCTTAATAATATAATGTTGAACCGCAACTAAGATTACAGCTCCCAATGCAGTTGAGTTCAGCAGCTTATTTGAGTTTTATTTGAACCATCAACTTTATGTCATCTTTTCTTATAATATAAGCATTTGTGGTTGTTCGTTTCTGCAATGCAAGTGTAACTGCGATTCAATAGTTTTGTCTGCCACACTTTGTCAAGTGCCGGCTTTTCTTTATCTCCAAGGCTAAAGAAAACTAGGTGCATTACTGCTGTTCTTGCTAGGAGATATCAGATTTTGAGTGATTTGCATGATCATATATGTATAGACTGCAATCATATCAAAAATTCATGATTGGTTTTTCTTTTTCGAACCTTGTCTACAACTGCTGAACAAAACTTTATTCATTATATGTGGAGATGTGGGCTGTCCGCCTCTCCCTTTCTCCAAGTCATGAAATGGAAGACAAAAAACAAGGTCATGAAATGGGGAAGAAAAACGTATCGTTATCAGACTGACGACTACGGCAACTCCAGCCTCCAGGGACCGACCAGTTGACTCCATATATCTCTGGGGAGGAAACAGATCAGAGAGATCCTGCTATATTTACAAAAATCCAACACTAGAAATCAATGATGGGCTCTCCGATGGTCAGATTGCGCTCCACTGTCCAAGGTAAGTCGAAGAGCTTGGCCGTTATGAATTTGAAGATCTTGTTCACGTTTATGTTGTATGTTGCACTCGAAAAGAACAACGTTGCGTTTAGTGCCTTTGCATATGCTCTTGCCTGCATTCACATTTTACATGAAAAATCAACCAATGAACATCCTCAAACGGGAGCACAAATTGCTCAAAGGGTGTTATGAACTTAGTTTATTTTGGCCATCAAAAAGCATTTTTTTGATACTCAAAAGTGTTTCTGGTAGCGTTTAGCAAATTAGGAAAAGAAGTAGGAATTCTTTTGGGTTATAGGGTCATCTAAAAGCGTTTTCTGATAACCAAAAGTGTTTCTGGTAGCATTTAGTAGATTAAGAAAAGTAGTAGGAATTCCCTTTGGGTTATAGATGCATCTTGTTAGTGTTTTATAGAGAAGCTTTTTGGGTTATAGATGCATCTTTTTAGTGCTTTATAAAGAAGCGCGTACCAATTGCTTCTTGATGAATCGATTTCTAGTGTTTTTTTCAAGAAGGATTTAGATTTTTAATAAAAGCTTATTGTACTTTTTTTTTTTTTTTTTTTTTTTGGTAATCCGAAGTGCAATAACCGGGTAAAGATGCCAGAAGATTACAAGAAAGCCTACCACAAGGCAAACAAGAAACAAACACCAGCTACAGAACCAGTAGTGCAAGAAGGTAGAAAGAAAATCAAGACGCCGCATCTAATGCTAGAGCGTCCCTACTCACACTACCAAAAAGCTAACAGTGAAGGGGGCTTATTGTACTTTTGACATAATTGCTTAATACATTTGAAAGTCCAAACGAACCCTATTGGGTAACAAATGTAGAATTTAAAAGGCCATGACAAGTAGTTGGACACATTACTATTTTATATTGGTTGGTTGGTGTTTGTAGCCAAATTGAACTTGTATTAGCTTCCCTTTTCAGTTTTTCTATTGAGCATTGACTTGGATGTCTCCAACTTCTCGTCATCTTTATTGCTCATCCTAGGTAATTAGAGGTGACTAGGCCCCTAATCATTGATTTTTTTTTACTAAACACATTTTTATAATATTTATGGTGTTAGATCGTGAATTATATTTTTGCGGCATGAAATTAAATATTAATTAAAATAGTTAAGAATATTGCTTTCGAAATTAAGAATGTATGCTAGTTAGTAAGCATCTTTACCTGACTTGCAATTGTCCATTGCAAATCTATGGGGAGTTGGATGAAATCATCGAACTTTGTTCCAATTAATATTGGGATTGCCGTCTGCAAACCAACATGAAAAAGGCATTTTACAATTGGGGAAAAAAACTTGATTAATTTTGTGAACAATCATGCTCCGCTGTTGAAAGTATAATAAGTGTTGCTGAAATCCAATCATAAATTGACAAATGTCTAATTATAGTTTCTAATTTTCAATTATTCAGACACATAACCATTTATGATTGATTTTTCAACAGCGCTTACTGCTCTTCTTTCAATTGAGAAGCATGATTCTTTTGTGAATTAAGAGAATGTAATGTAATTGCAGTTACCTGATTCCATTTCCTTGCTCGGTGATACCATGTTATGACACTGCAGTCACATAAATTAAATTCCATGGTTTAGCATGCTAATTAAAAATTTAAACAGGATTAAAATACCAAAAGCTAGAGATTGTACTTAGAAATTCACCTATTTAACGTACACCGACTAGTTAAATCAAACATGAACAAAATAGCTACGGAATCCTTGCAAGCAACAGGAATGTTATCCTGGGATTTTACATCACCTGCACCATAATTAAAATAAAATTATTACAAACTCAATGCAATATTAATTGTAAATCGAAGATTAATTTCATTGGATTATATTAATACCTCCAACTTCCCAAATACTATAGGAAATCCGTGCACCACTGACCAACAATGTCTTATCCATTGAATTTAATCCGGTGGTGTCTGTCTCTCCTCCCTCTTCCTTCTCATCATCTCCTACATACTTTACCTAAGCCAACCAAATAAATTCAATAAATAGATATACAAATAAATAAATGAATAAGAAGAAGAAGAAGAAGAAGAAGAATGAGAGTGTGACGTGATGATTAAAACATAATTCATGGTACAAATTATATGATATAAGAACAAATTTTTAATCCTTAAAACATGACAAATTCATTTTTCTGCATGTGTTCGCATGTCATACAAATTTGTATATTTTAGACGACTTTATTGTTGTTGGAAAAGACGTTAAACCACAAAATTACCTTAAGATGATACGCATGATTGTGTGAAATTTCTATCTATATTCCATAACCTAAACGTGAAAATCAGAAAGAAAAAAATGTCATTTAACTAACTTCGAGAATTAATGAAGAGATTAATTACCACAAAGCTAGTTTTTCCAATCTGGCTATCTCCCAAGAGGCTGATCTTCAACGGCACTAAATCGGAGCTGCTAACACGGTGGCTACTCTTGTTCCGATGAAGGTGATGACACGTGAGATCCCTTGATTTCGAGGACGGCGACGAAGACGCAAAAGTGGAAGGGGTGTCGTTCGCCGACGACATGGCGGCCGAAATGGGCAGCATACTGTACTGGACCGGCTTTCCTAAACAACACATGAGCAGCCGGTCCATGACGCGGCGGAGGACCAAGACGCGGCGTTTAACTCTTCTCCTGAGGCTGAAGTGGCGTATCATTTCTTCAACAAAAAGTAACTAGTAGATCAATCTTCAAACTTGGAAAAAAATGGACGGTTGTGATTGTGGCGATCAAAGGTGGTGGTGGTGCTGGTGTGGGGGGATGGCCTCAACAGCAACTGAGCGACTCTTGTTCTGTTTAGGCCATGGAAACTGAAAAGCTAGCTTCCATTGCTCTCATATTTTCATGACTTGTGGTATTTTTAGAATATTTGCTTTGTATTAATGTAATATTTTCTAAATATTTTTGTTTTATTTTTTCCAATTTTCTTTTGCTTTTTAGCTTTTTTTTTCGGTTACAACGATCTTTTGCTATCAATGTGACTACTTTAACGGGACATTTGACCGGTAATAACATGGACATAATCCCAATCGAAAGAAGTCCTAATTGCCTTCTTCCAATGCTACACGGATCTTGGTCCTATCTACGTATGAGTGAAGGTAACACCACTATATATATTCATAAACATATTATTACGAGAGATTTTTTAAGTATCAGGGTATTCAAAAGGTGCTCTACATGTCATTATACAAGTGAGAAATAATAAATTTTTTCATATCTATCCACTTATTTTATAACACCACTTGAGTATCGGACACTTTGAAAATTTCTTGTATTATACCATTACACAAAAAAAAGTTTCTTGTAAGTTTACGGTTGCAGAATTTTTGTAATGGGTTTTATGAGATTTATGAGGGGTTGTATGCATTCCAAGTTTATCTTTAAATTTTATTGTATCTGAATCAGTATTGAGTTGTAGGACTTTTTTTCTGGTTACTTAAAACACAAAGATCTACACTTTCTGGATTAGCTCAAGTGGCAAAGAAGGATGAGATAAGTTGAGCTTATTATGGGTCCGGTGTTCGATTTTTTTCCAATCCAATAAGAAACAAGATTTAGAATAGGAGGTATGCATAACAAAAGCCATCAATTTCTTCATGTTTCCATTTGGTTTCTCGAGTGATGTCTAAATGACACCAAAAGTCTTCCTAGCCTACAAAATGGTAAACTGCCGTAGTGAAATCACAAGCCGGTCATTTTGTTAAAAGAAAAAAATGTATAGTCACTTGATTTAAGTTTGGTTTTTTGTAAATTAAAGAGCACCAATATGATGCACCTAATCAACTTCGATAATTATTATGTAGTAAATAGTAACCGACCTTTTCCAGAATAAAGCAATACCATACAAAGTACATCAACAACTTTGAGCATAGTTTTAAAGGAAAATTAATGAAAATGGCTTGAAAACATTGAGTTTTAACAATAAGGACAAAATGTAGGGTAAAGTGAATAGTGCCAGGATTGACTTTTAGTATAAAAATGTGGTTTTTCATTAAAGTAAACAGTATCGAAAGCTTTTAGTTAAAGTTCCCTAGGTTTAATCATATAAAATAAAATGGCCAATTTGAATTCAAGTTAAAGTGAGGTCTCAATTTTTTAACCTACCCAAGGTGTGTTGTTAAAAAAGAGGTACCAAGGGGTCTGTATAGTTAATTATATACATTAGCAACGGCTAGGATTTAGTGATCAATAATTAAGTGGTTCGTTGCAATTTTCAACTAGTGGCATGTTCATATACTTTCTCGGATGGGGAAATCATGAATGGGAGTTATCAGTTTAATTCTTGGCTTGTTTAAGTATTTGGTTACGGAATATAATGCATGAGCCAAATATAACACTTAACAAGCTTTTAATTTACTGGTAGTTGCCTTTATTTGGTAAATGATGTCTTATATACATACACATTTGACGTGTAAATCTATAGGGCTCGTATAATTATAACGCACAATTATACTAACCTGGATTTTGATGATTGTTTGATATCTTCTTGACGCTTCTTAGGTTCTTCAAGCGCGCTTAGTAGAAACTCTTTTAATCTTCTATTGATTTCTACTCACTGGGCTATAATATTAAATAGAGAGTATCATATACGTGTAACACTCAGAGTACCAATGACAACCTTTATGTAGATGTTATAACCTAATGAGAACACTCCTCACAATCCCACTAATCTTATGATTCTATACTTTATTAATTTAGCTAAAAGAATATCGGGAAACGCCATTAACCTAACTTATATAAATTTCCTGTTTTCACTAAACCTTAGAGACGCAGGTGTTTAGTTAATATTCTTAATTTTACCCTTTCGAGCTCTATCTGTAACTTACTATAGGCTTGAGAAATAAAAGAGAAAATGTGTACGACAAGACATCCAGCAACAAGAAGAAGGGAAAGGAAAATGATTGAATAGAGGAACTCCTAAACATTACTATAGGCTCGAGAAATAAAGAGAAAATGTGTATGACAAGATATCCAGCAACAAGAAGAAGGAAAAAGAAAATGATTGAATAAAGGAACTCCCGAACATTACTATAGGCTCCGAACATTACCATAGGCTCGAGAAACAAAGAGAAAATGTGTACAACAAGATATCCACTAACAAGAAGGAAAAGGAAAACGATTGAATAGAGGAACTGACACACCCCGACCCAGAATGTCTACTTGGACTCCGAAACGAGTTGTGCTGGCCGACACCTGGAAGGTGACGAAGCCATAAAGTGTAGTGATGTGGAAAAAGTGAATAAATTAAACCTAAAAGTGTCTAATCAAAGGAGTGCGCAGGTGAGCGGGATTGAACATTTTTCACACGTGATGTCAGAGCATAAGACAGTATAGTAAATAGGATGAGGGTTATACCACTGAAGGTAATCATCTCCTAAGATTTGCCAAAATCCTCGTATACGCGTAAACACAGCTACTAAACCTGGAGGGGCAAAAAACAAAGTGGGTCAGCAAAACAATACTTATACGAAAACCTTTATTTTTTAATATACTAACCCCTCACCGTAAAACAAGTATAGTTTCCTCAAAACATACTACGTAAGTATGCAATCAAATATAACAGCAATATAACCAGAAATATGCCAAGTCATGATATATCAAATGCCAAAGTAATATAATCATGTGATAATAAATTATAAGTACTTTGCTCATCATCTAAGCTAGCACACGAGTCGGAACTGCCTAAGGTAATTCTACCCGACAAAACTGGGTGTAATCAATGCGCTTAAGTACTACGATCACGCAAAGACTGGTGCATAAGCACGGTCACATACAAGTCGGATTGCCTAATGCAATCTACCCGACAGGACTGGCACCTAACTTGGATCCAATGCGAGCGAATGGTGCGGATGTGAACATACACGTGAAGGACTAGCCCTGGCCTTGGGCGAAGTACTAATATCGAGGTGCAGCAAGATGAGCATGTACAAATATGTATGAATGTCATGACAATAATATCCTAACCATATAGCAGCATTTATCACAATTCATATCACAATATCGAATACTTGGCAATATAAGCATAAAAGTGAAGTAACTACGCATTTAGGGAAACTATCAATATGTATAGGTATAAAATAAACTGCCCACTCACAGATACTTCGCCGCTGACGAGCCACACAACCTAGCGAAAATGGAAACGCCACTAATAATTTCCCCTAAGCACATAAAGGTACAATTAATAAAACTATATTATAACAATTGAATTTGAGAAAACAGACATTAAAAACGGATTCAGGACATCGAATTACACTAAGAAATGTCCCACTTAAATTTCCGAAAAGTCAACAAAATGAATATTCCCTGAAGGACAGAATATTCCCTAACGGAATATTTCATCTGGGTTAAGGGTTATTTGGTTGGGTTAGATTAATAGGTTGGACTTAAGGGTTCTAAGCCTAAAGGCCTAAACTAAAAGGGTTTAGGGCTTTAGGGATTGGGTTTGGGGTTTAGGCCTTCACAAATAAGGTCCAAGGCCCTTAATTTAACAAATAAAATTAAAACAAAAGAATTAAAAGGGTTATGGGTTTGGGTTTGGAGTCATGGGCCAAAGGCCTTCTTCCACTTGATCCCTAGGGCCTGGGTTTGAAAGGGTAGGGCTTAAAAGCCTGGCCCGAGTCGACCAAATGGGTCGCCGGACCCAAAGGAAGAGGAAGGCTGGAATTCAGCCCGAAAACTACACAACTTTTAAACGTTCACAACTTCCTCATTACTCAACGAAATCAAGTGAAACATAAACAAAAGTTGTAGTTCTCGAAGAGAGGAAGAGATTGATACCTTGCACGCCGGCCAACTCATCGTGGTTTGGTTGGAAATTGGCTCGAAAGGCACGGGTCAAACTTGAACTTCTCGAAACCGAGTTGTTTCACGTCAAAACTTCCTCAAACCTTGACTAGGGACCCTAAGGAGTTGTGTAGAGGCTTTCCCAAGTCCTAAAACATCGTGACTCGGTTGAAAACACATCGAACTCAACTCGTCCAAATTCGGACCTTCCGAGTTGGCGAGTCAAAACTCGTCCATTCTTAGTTTGGTTGGTATGGTTGTGTTCGTGGAGGTAAGGTGAACACAATGGTAAGGTTTTTAAGCTCGAATAGTGAAGATTTGGGGTTGGTCTTCCTTGTTGTAGAGAAAAGAGAGTTTCGAGAGGGAGAGAGAAATAAGGAAGAGAGAGAGTGAGCATTTTTCGATACCAAATTAGGTTGCCTATTGTTTAGCTTAGCCGAACTTCCCATTCCCCTTAATGTAAAATATATCTCGTGGAGAAGCTGCTTTTGCTTTTAATACTTAAATTGCCATTCTCTCATTAGGCATTTCAAAAAAAAAAAAAAAAAGTTTTAAAAAACCTCACATAGTGGGATGGTGAGTAGTTAATAAGTTCATTATTTTCAAAATATATTTTAATAAAAAAATTGTCACACGTGTTGCAAGAGGCAAGTTATTATTAAAAGTGACACGAATTTCATTTAAAACCATAAAATGGCAAATAGTACAGGCCATAAAGGTCAAGAGTTATCATCCTCAAGCAGATCGTAGATTACAATTGGAGGTTCCCTTAACCAAGTACAGTCAATGCCACAGAATGGCCTAGCGAGTCAGTAGCTTCAGTAATCGATTTCAACAAAGCCTTAGCATCCTCTAGGGTCCTCGGAGGGGGGGGGATGTTATTTGTAATGAAGGGAACTTTAGGTCATCTTCAACCGAAGAGTCCAGAGGGCCAGAGGGTCGAAAATAGCCCGAAAACCTTCTCCAACCGAGGGCTAGGCTAGAAGGCTATGGAATCTGAGAAGGCTCCACGAAATCGGATAGGGCTGGCTGAGCCAGCCAGCCATCTAGGGGCTAGCCACAAAACCGCTTAATAACCGACAAGAATTCTTAAAAAGAATTTTGAA